CTGAAAAGGTGGTGTCTATTTATTTGTGTCCATGCTGTGTACACAATAAAGATGTGTATTTTAGCGAAAACAAAAACAACTTATTTTACTGATATTCAGCTTTATTCTTCTAGTACTTAACCAAAGGCGATGACGTATAAAAAATCATAGCATTGCATGATTTTATTGTTTGTTTGAAGTTAAGCACAAAGCTACACAATGGGCTATCTGTGCTCTGGCCACAACGGATATCGAAATCCGGTTTCTAGCGTTGTCAGTCTGCAGACATGCCGCTGTGCCACTAGGGGGAGGCGAACGATTTTTAGCGATGAAACACAAAAATTAATAGAAGGATTTGTTGGTGTTTAGACAAATTAATAATCTAAGTGTACGCATCTTGAATTTCGAATTTTTCGTGGTTTATTTTTAGCCACGATATAAATATAACAGTACTGTTTGTTGTATGTCCACTTAACTACTTCGCATGGTGTCAATGTATATTCACCAAAATTAGTATGGAGGTTCATTAGGTCCATAGAAATTTTAAGTTTTGCAGTTTGCGGTTTTTATGGTCATTTTTTACAATTATATATAAGGGAAGCAACTTATCATGTCCTAAGATAACCTTTCATTAATCATGAATTTACACAACTTCAGTCCCGCTAGTTTTTAATATTTTCCCAACATTCGTGTTGAAATTTGAGAAATGTTTTTGTCATTGGTGAAAAAGAAAATAACATCAGTCTAATTATTTTGAGTTGTGTAAAACAAATATTTGAGTTATGTTGTACAGATTTGTTTTCAACAATCCAGTCAGAAATTTTAAATCATTATACTTGGCCATTTCACTTTTTAAAATGATTGTCGTTCAGGTTTTCTTGTGAACCATCTCATGTTTTTTATATATACAAGTTTGGATTATCAGCGAGATTTAAAAACGTTATTTCCTGTTTATTTTCCAAATTTGAAAAATATAATTTCTTTCTATTCTATTCTATAAATGTTTGTGCCATTGTAAGTTGCTTTAATAATTCTAGTTTATATGTATGAAATATCGTGTTTCTTCAATAACAAATGTTTCATTGTTTGCGAGACCTAACTTCAAACTGCACAACTACATGTCAAAATATAACAAAAATAACAATGTTAACAATAATTATATTGCAGAATATATTTGAATAACCTTAAATTTAGTAATAAACCAACTTTAAACTAATTTAATGACAATGCGTGTTAAATTGAACACAAATAGTATATGAAATAATTTAATGTATTTTTTTTCAAAACAAGGGAAGAAATAAATGTCCTACAGTTCAAAAATACCAATGATTTTTAAAAGATCTCTCTACAATTTCATTACTGATAAATATGCCCCAAATATTATACAAGTTTTTGAATTATATAAAAGAAACATAGTTCTTATCTTAAACTGTTTTATTTTATTAGATTGTACAATTTTATTTGTACAAAATATTTTATATTTTTCATTACAAGATGCCTTAATTAAAAATAGCTAAGACATTATTTGTCTTTGGATATTTATATAAATCCATGCAAGGACTATCAACACTAGTTGTCCCTAATTTTGAACTGACTAGAGGGAAAGCAGCCAGCCAGTAAACAGTGCCCACAAATAACTTTTGGGCTACTCTTGTTTAACCAAATAGTGGGATTTGACCATTATTATGCACCCATGGCCCCTAAGCATGGATCACAATCCACCACTCCCTTCCCCAGTTAACAAGATGCAAATGATGATGATTACTAATGAGTATCTTTAACTTGAAGAATGAAGTATCACTCCATAGAAAAGTAATTCATTTTATTGGAAAGTTCTCAATTAGAAAAACAGAATTTAAGACATGCGACATTAGGTTTGATTGCAGGTGTTATAAAACTTCAATTTAATGAAGCCTTGATCATAAACTCCATTCTGATATGCACCAATCGTCTTCATGTAGGGATATATATACAACATTAAATTTCAAATCATATGCAACTGTATTCCCAGTGCACTATCTTCACCTTTTCATCAAACATAATTATGCGGATAAATCTGAATTCAATAAATAAATAACAGTTGATATTAGTTAACCAAAATTTTATTTTGCATGCACTGATTGGTTTGAAAGTAAAAACAAAACACTATCCTCACAAAGCTCGAATTTCACTAACAATTCAGATATCTTTCACTATGATCAATCATTCAGATTTAGTCTGAGTTTGATGGCAAAAGCCCTGATATAACCTTTATTAACCTCCCCCAAAATAACTTAGAACAGAAGTTTCTGATGAATAATTGTTTTATTACCAATGACCTTTTATTTTTCACACATTTCTATACTGATGTAAGAAACCCTACTCTGTATATATTATCAATGCATTGTTCATTTCCACTTATGATGCAACAAATTCAACATACGTTTCCAAACCACGACAAAGCTGTAAGAAGATAGATTTATTTCCAATAAAACTTCAATACATGACATAATAAAAACTACAGTTAACCTTTCTTGTAGTTCTGAACTTACAAAAACTTCGTGTCATACCTGGAGTGATCGGGTTTCTAAAAATGTTTTTTCCTTAAAAAGTTTCAAAGTAGAAATATATATCACTTGCAATAAAAATCACACTCAAGTAACAAGTATTTCTTTGTACTTTGTCTTACTCTAAATTACTAAAGTTATCTAGATAAATTACACACTGTATAAATTATTAATAATTTTAAATTACAGAAGATTAAAACAGATTTATAATCATCACATGGGGGGGGGGGGTAGAGCTGTAAGCAGTAAGTATTTCACTGAATTTGGTGAATTCATTCACTCTAACACTTTTCTGCTTAAGCTAAATTTTTTTTACCCCCTTTTTCTAACTTGCGTAAGGTACTCAAAAATAGTTTAAAACGTAGCAGAAGTTAAACATTAAATATAATAAAGGCACAAATAATGATATTGATGGAAAGCTAAGCCTAGATCGGTTCATAGATAATCAAATCGCTATAAACAATCACTAGTAACGTAAAAAGCATTTTTCATATCAAAATTTACTTTTGGTTTCAAAATATCTTTCTTCACTAAAAAAATTTACATAAAAATAGAAACATGTTGTGTGAAATTACATAAAAAGTTACAATTAAATTTGTTTATAAAGACATTCACTGTAATTTTAACCTGCATAAAAACATTTGTTGATATTGGGCTATCTGTGCTGTGTCCAACATGGGAATCGAAACCCAGTTTTTAAGTGTTATAAGCCAGTGAGAGGGGGCAGTATCAAAATCATCATTATACATATTTATGGATAGGTGTGAATATACTAAGATTTCTTTATTCTTGTACACGTGGCACCTTTTTTAGCACCTACATCGCTCCTCCATCTTACTAAGTCACAAACAATTAAATAAAAATTATCTAACTTAAGGTGACTAAGTAGTTAAAATGACTAACTGATAGACAGTATTAATAATGAGACCATTGTTCTACATTAAAACCTAAAAACAAACATACCCATATATATATATATATATATATATAACTTAGAGCAAAACATTTTTAATTTTCAAAAAATGATTCACATCAAATACAAAATTTTAACATTTAAAATAAAGGAACTCTATTAAGTAGACTGAAAAAAAAAAAAGGTCATAAAAATTAAATTAATAATGTCTGTTTGTAATTAAGCACAAAGCTACGCAATGGGCTATCTATGCTCTGCCCACCACGGGTATCGAAACCCGGATTCTAGCATTGTCAGTCTGCAGACATACCGCTGTG